ATTATTAACCGAAAATTTCTTCTAGTGGGTTGTGATTGTTCAGTCAAGTACTGAGATACCACTGTATTTGATTAATGTGATTTTGATATATGCAGTAGCATCAAGGGATTAATTAATCATGCTAATCAAGGAATAATGTAATATATTTAAACAACACATAAAAAGAGAAGTAAAACAGTGTGAAAGTAAGTCATGTTCTTTAAAAAATTGATCAAAAGTTTTTGTTTGTTTCTTGATTATTTTGATGAACTGGTACAGAATGTGAAATCAAATGTCTCCTCCTACCAAAACTTCAGTCACGTGAAAGATAGAAGATTTATTCTAAAGTTTAACTCACATTGATAGTCAATAGTGAAAATGAATGAGAAACAGGAAAGTGATTTTTATTCACTCATCAAAATTGGTTGGCATTACTAAATATGGGATTACTGAATATAAAATTTTCAACATGTTGGACTGACAGAATTATTTGAGTTTATTGGGTCAGAAAAAGCAAAGCAAATAATACATAACATGTGACAACACTAAGATCTTTTTGTTTAGATGACATTGCTGATTTGTAAGGATAAAAGTGAAACTAACTAAAGCTTGCAGGTAAACCATAATAGCATGTGTTAAAACAGTGCATAAACTATGAGATGGTCTAATCCATTAGTGTGGTCTAATAATCATCAGATTTGGAGTAGAATTATTTAAGACAGAAAAATTAAAAATCATTTCTTTCTTTATTCACTGTTTAATTATTTTTGTCAATTCTCACAAATAAATGAATTTTATTTCCTTGAATATGATAAATGGTTGCAGTACCAATTTTGTAAAGTATTTACTTTACAAAATTAAAATGCATGATATGCTAATTAATATACAACAGATGATTTTCATATTTTTTAAATAGTACTTGTTATGATTAATAAATAAATCATAACAATTCTTTAATTGTAATGATAAAATTATAGCTATAATTTTACAATTAAAGAATTCATCATTACAATTACAATCATTACAATTAAAGAATTGTTATGATTTATTTATTAATCATACACTATTAACCTGTATATTCAAATTTTATTGTAATGTTTCATCTCTAGTAACAAACTTTTTAAAATATAATATAAATCTGAATAATTATATACAAGGTATGATCAATAAGTAACCTTTAAAGGTGGTAATAAATAAAAAATAATTATTGTCAATAAGACTACTTTTCTGGAACATTTTGTTACTTTTAAATACTGTATTTTGGTCTATGGTCTATTCCTATTCAAATATATTTACCTTCACATTCCTTCTGTCAATACTAGAACTACTACATGATTATACTCTTCATATGGTTGTCTTAATGTTATCATTAAATTTTTTTTTACTGCTACCAGAAAGTTGCCTTAAAAATCAAAGATAAACTTTACATTGAATTCACTAAATTTAAGGCTGTTTGCAAAAATATACTGTGTTATATTTAATTGTTTTATTTATTTTTTATATTTGATTCCTTTTATTTTTGTTGTATTACGCTTTTTTTTTATTCATTTTACTGAGTCTTTTGCTTCATTGTTGTATGGGGGTGACAAACATTGTCTGAACAATTTTGCCAGTAATATTGTAAAAGAATAAAGAATAATATATTTTCCTTGTCTTTCTATACAACATTGTCAACATAATACTAGCTTTCATATCCCTTCAGTTTGAGTTATGAGCCATTCATTGATGTGCTGCATTGTGCACTTCATTATTTGTCTTGAAATGGCACCCACTTAAAGCCTTCTTGAAAGGATTGAACAAATAATATCCCAGGGAGCAAGGTCAGAAGAATATGGAGTGTGTGGCAACACTCCAATTCAGCTTCTCTATAATGGTGACTGTCAAATTTTCAGTATGAGGGCAAGCATTGTCAATCTGCAAAATAACATTCTTTGATACCAATCTGTTTTTTTCTGGAAGATTAATAGCTTCAATTTGTCACATAATAATGAACAGTATACTCTACTAGTGATAGTCATATAATCCTTTAAAATTATACTTTTTCTATCCCAAAATAGAGTCAGCATCACTTTTCCCACAAAGTGTTGAGTGAAAAATTTTTTGGATCATGGTAGCAATGAATGACAATACTCTTTACTTGCTCTTTTCAATTCATGTTGGTAATAATGCATATGCAGATAAACTAGACAGCTAAGAAAAGTGTATCCTTCCTTTTTATACCTCTTTAGAAGAGTAGTACAATTATCAACTCACTACTTCTTCATCTCATGTGTGAGATGACATGACATCCATCTGGCAGATACTTTCCTAAATTTCATAACATTGTGGATGATATATTATGCAGAACCATAACTGATGTCCATTTCTTTTGATAATTCATGAATTGTGATGCGTCTATCATCTTGTATCATGGCTTTAATAGAGTTTATCACTACATTTGTCACAACAGCCTTCAAATGACTTGATTGAGGTTTGCCTGCTATACTGCTACATTTGTAATGCTATTCTTAAATTTCCTCAACCACTCATATACTTGCTATTTTGATAGACAGCTTATTTCATACTTCAAGAACATTCTATGATAAATTTCTATTGGTCTGATTTCTTCACTAACCAAGAAACAAATCACAGTCCTCATCTCCTCCTTAGTGCAAACTTCCAGAGGTGCTGTTATTTTAGATTTGAATTTTCTAGATGCTGATATGATGTGTGCTACTCCTAATGATTCTAAGTATAAATTTTTTGTTTGTAGTTTCTGATATTACTTGTTGAAATTTTATGAAACTTTTTAAGGTTACTTATTGAACATGCCACACATATCAGTTCAATAACAAATCTGGTTTTATCATTTGATTATTTAAATCTGATATTAAAATTATTTTTAAGATGCAATTCAAATTCAAATGTTTTAATGTAATTAAGATTTTAATCATATGATATTGGTACTGTTTGATCAATAATTTATCATCATTCTGATAATTTTTCATTTCCATATTTTTATAACTTTTCCTTATTTTCTGGAGAAAAAATGAAACATGATGAAACAAACTTTATGAATAACATAATAGATTATAAAATAATAAGATAAGCAATAAGAAACATATTCATTTTTTCATTGATTTTCATACATATAATTTCATTTGATGTGTATGAAAAGTAAAGATTATTTAATTTTTAAAACCTATTGTCATTGATGAATGAGCTGAAGATGAGATTTGATTTTGAAAATATTTATCATGGCCTTCTTATTTTTTGACTTATCTTCATGACTTTTATGATAATATTAATACCTTAATTTCATTCTGTTAACTTAATCTTTTCCTTGAGTTTTTCTTAATTGGATATGATGTAACTCAATTTGTTATTAATGAGAGAAAAATTGGTGTAATTTTTAATTTTATGTCTTTATAAAATTTCTATTGTAAACAAATTAGATATTAATTAATGTAGGTATACTTTAAACCATGAGGAAGTTTAAGTTATTATTTATAACTTGGGTAAATGATTTTTGTTGATATCAACAAAGTAAAGCTTACTAAACAGCTTTAAGAAGTCAACATCTTTTAAATTTTTGATATTTTTGAAATTTTTAAACTAATAACAATAAGGTTTATATTGCTTACTAAATTGAAATAGTTTCTATATTAAATAATTATTGGATGTTAATCAAGATTTAAAAATATGAAGAACAAATTTGGTTTCCACTTGATTCATATTTTATAAATTCTTGAATTGAAGACTTGTGATGAATAATTTTTCATAATCAGACTTCAGAGATCTACAAAAGTTTGCATTTTCTGGACTCAGAAACTTGCACATGGACAGTAGGTCCTCCTTGGCATTTTTATTGAAAGTGGCTAAGTATATGCACATGGCAGATGCACATTCTGGAGGCCATTAAAGTGATTCAGACTTTCCTTGTGTGCACGACTCCTCTTCAACAGCAGTAAAGAAAATGCATCATGTTGTTGCAAAACATAATGGGAACATCTTATTCTAATTATGTTTGTTGACCCTACTGTCATCTGAACCAATATTACTCATGGTAATGTAATTCTGAGGTACTGTAATGTCATCCTTTGTTTCATGCTCCATTCTGCAAAATTTGCAGCATGTGGGAAAACATGAAATGTTTACCTCACTCAGTGGTTTAAACCAGTGTTCCGCAACCGGTGTGCCGCGGTACACTGATGTGCCGTCACATGGTGAAAGGTGTGACGTGAACTTTTACATATTTTGTTAATTTCAAATTTTATTTATATATTTTTATCACAGTTGTTGTGTTTCTTATGCTTGTATTTCATTCTCTGCCGCAGTACTCATGAAATAAGATGATGTTTGTTTATTCTTTATTACAAGCCACGCATTTTTATGTATTCTAAGAAATTATATGTAAAAAAAAATTTGCTTACAGGTGTTGATGTCTGTTTAATAACAATAATAATAGGTTAATGGCATTACGTAATTCTATTAATAGTTTTTGAGGGGAATAACATTTTGGTGTGCCGTGTTGAAGTCATGGGTCTGCCGCAAGTAGAAAAAGATTGCGGAACACTGGTTTAAACAGCTGATTTAATTTGCCCTCTGCATGACAAATATTCACTTTCTGACTCCCTCTTCATTTTCAACTTAATATGATTTCAGTTTATGGGTTGGCAATGTCTTCTCTTTCTTAAATTTTGCTTTTGTAGCATTGAAGAGGTGAGAGTGAATGTCTAATTGTCTGCCATTTTGTATGCACATGCAATGTTTTCCGTGCAGTTGATAAGTTGGAAGCAGTTTTTTACAGTAACCAGGCAGATTTTTTATAGTAAAGACACCATTTGCTGCATAATTTTGCAGTGCACAATTTATGAAATTCTCAATTTGGTTATTTAATTGTCTGCAACATTATTTGACATGAACCTTTATTTAAAGATTTTGTTTTTTTATAAGAGGTCTGAAGCTTATGGTATACAAAAATTTGTTTGATAACAATATTATTATTATTAATCTTAATTTTAATATTTAATATATTTTAGGATGGAATACATAGAGAAAAGGACAAACCTGAAGAATATACTGATGATCAGTTAAAACTAATGCAAACCCAAGATATTAATTATATTAATTACAAACAAAGTACAGAAATAAAGGTAATTTGTTAAATTATATTTCATAAAATCAAACAACTTTTTGTACTTTAGCACTTAAATACTATTAGTAATTTAGAACATTGATAAGCAGATAAATTTTTATATGCTTATCAATATTATTCATTAATAAATTAATTGTAAAATATAATTAATTTTCTATTAAACATAAAACTTCAAATACATTTATGGGTAGTTTTAATGTCTCATTAGATTTAATTGAAGTCAACATTGTAAAATTAACAAAACATAAATATTAAAACTTAACTAAAAAGTAGAAATTAATAATATTAATTTCTACTTTTTAAAATTACTGTATGACTATTATGTTTAAACATATTTTAAATAATTAAAAAAATTTCAACTAGACTTAAGTAGTAAATAAAAATTAAAATTGGGATTTGATATACAAATTAATGTTGAAACATTATAAATAATCATATATAATGTTTCACTTTTTAAATGTAATTTATTGTATATTACATCAAATTATTAAACATGATGTAGTCAGATGCATCCAATAAATTAAAAAATATTAACTATTATATTATCAATTGTTATGAGTTAAATTGATTATTAAAATCAAATTAAAAACTAAAAAAAGTAAAATTTTTGAGAATTTAGATTTTTTTACATTTTTTAAATAATATATTTTTTGATGAAAAAACAGAAAATATGATTAAATGATTTATAAAATTTATATAAATAGTATAGAAGCTGGAATCTTTTTATATAAGAACCAAATTTTTGCTTATCACACAACTTCCAGCATTAAAGTATTCTAAGACAAATGTTTTTGGCCTTCTTCAGGTAAAAGAATAAGATAGAAGTATGGTTCTACTAAGCTTTCTAACATTTCAAAAATATTTAAACTTGCCAAAGCCATATTATATCATATTATATCAAACCCATAATCATAATATAAATATTAAATGTTTCAATGTTCTAATGATGTCATTAACTTAGTCTTTGATTGTTAACTGCAGACTTTTTCATTTCCAGAAAACAGTAAATTATTATATCCAAATAAAACTTGTTTAGTTTTATATTGTTTACATTCACTACAAATATATTTTATTATAACTAGAATGTATCAAATATAAAATGAGCATTAGAAATAATGGAAAAAAATGCAACCTAAATTAGTTTTAACAGAATCTATATATATAGAATACACTAAGGCAAAATCTATTACTAGTTCATTAAGGTACTTGAATATGAATTGCATTTACAATTTATACATCATTTTGAAGCTTATTTAATGAAAAGGCCTGTTGCATCAATTACTAATTCTAATTATTTTAATTTAAATTAAACTAGCTGGGGTACCACCCGGCTTCACTCAGGCAGTTGATATGAGATTGTGTGGTAGTTGGAATAAAAGGATAAACTTTAAAATATAAGAGGTAAAAAAGTTTTATTGAAAACATATTATAACTATTTACAATACTTGTTTATAAACAACATTTTGCTCAAAAACTTTTACAAATAGGCGAAGGCACATATCCCACTGACCAGACAATTGGCCTCATTAAACTCAACAGTGATTTTTGTGACATAGCCACTACTGAAAACGAACTTATCGACCAAATTTATCTAAACGTTGTTCACAACTATACCAATCTGGAGTGGCTATTTCAAAGGGCGATTTTGGCAACTAAAAATAATATTGTTGATGATATCAACTTTAATATTCAAAAGAAAATTCAGAACTGGCAAGAGTTCCTCCTCTTTTAAATTTGGGTATTGTATAAAATATAAACCAAATCAACTTTTTATTAACAAATATACTAAGTACACTTTACACAGTTTTCACATTTTATTTTCAATTTATATTCAGTCACTGTATCACTTTGACTACTCATACTTCACTGTTTGTTTTTATTCACTCACTGCACTACTTTGTAATTTTCACTTCTTTTTTGGTTCTTCCCTTCGTCACTGATAAGAAACTGACGTTCGAACCCATGACAGATCTTCCTTTATACACCCCCACCAATGGGTAGTCCCACCCATACAAAAAAGGCTTCGAATGGTCCACAATGTTCCGGAACATTCCACAACATTCTATAGTGTTCTGGAATGTTCCACAATGATCTGAGATGTTCCCGAACATTCCAGAACATCCAGAACATTCTGGAATGTTGTGGAATGCTCTCAAATACTCTCTAATGTTCTGGACTGTTCTAGAAATTTCTAGAGGGCGAAATTTCAAGCCCTTATATCTTCAACAGCACACCCTTCAGGTAAAAACAGGAACCTTCTTCATGGATGAGGAATAGAAGGCTACCACATCATATAACTCCCTTGATCGTACTGGGACTCGTTTTTGAGTTTTAGCAGCACGCACATTGTACATTTACCTTTATAATATATATTGATTGATTAATTAGATGTAAAAATGTGTTCAATTTTACTTTTGCCATAGTGATTGATGCTCCTCACTATGATTCTGGCTATTGAACTTACCTCCATTCAATGTAAAAACATTTCTGAGAGTAACATTCTTGTCTTGACATTTGTCAACTCAAAAAGTTATTCTCAATTTATTCATTCTCAATTAGTTTTTAATTTCCATTAATTTTTCATTATTTTTTTCATTTTATTATTAATAGAAGGACAGTTGTAAATTAAATTTTAGGCAAGAGGACTGATGTCATTTCTTTTAAATAAAACAGTGTCTAAATGAAGAACTGTTATAGGTATATGAGTATATGAAAAAGAAATGAAAAACTGTATTTAATTAAATGTCATTGATTGCATTTCTGTTATTAAATTTAACCGTGAAGGTATTTACATGGTTATTTGAACCTTTTCAATAACTGGAATAAAAATGGCATGTGACAAGTGACCATAGACATATGTTTGTTAATATTAATCTTTTGTTAGAATACAATTCAATTCAATTTATTGTATGAACCTTAGTTCGTTACAAGGGGGTTAAAGTATTACATAAAAACTGAAATTAGTATAATATAACAATATAATAGCTTAGTACAGGATAACACAAAATAAAATACACAAAAATAATCATGTTTTGAAAAATGGGATAAATTAAATATATCTTTCCAGGATTTAAATCTTGTCAAATACTTTTTCCTATTTGTTTGAAATTTGATACAGTGAAAGAACACGTTCCCAAGTTCTATATGTTTGCAAACTACAGTTATATAAAAAATTATTCTAAAAATAGAAAAGAAAAGAAAAACTTTAAGAAAAGAAGAAAAAGATGTTAAATAACTAAATTACCAATCTAAACACATTTTTGAAAAGTATATTAAAGTTCTTTGATATCAACATTTTGATTACTTTTGAATTTTGAAAACAAATAATGCTTAAGAAGAAACTTATTTCATTATTTTTGTTTGATGTCATTCATAAAAAATGTTTGTTTATTTCATCATATAAAAACTTGAAATAACAGAGAATTTGAAAAATTGGCATTATTTAAATTGTTTTTTTTTTTTTTTTGAAGAGTTCCTTATGCAAGTGAATGATTACATTATATCATGTACAAAAGAAATAAATTGAATTAAGTAGAATCTGATTGTCATGAAATGTTTCTTAATCTCAGAAAATTATGTGATACAAGGTTAGATAAATATAGTAGTGATGTATTAGTTCATTGTTCTTTTCAATAATTTTTATCTTTAAAAATTCTCACTTATGGGCCAGTGCATTCTTATGATGGATTCTCCAGGCAGATTTTTTAAACAGTTTTTTAATCCACATTTTAATATATATTCAACATCTTAATATGATTTTATTGTGTATTTACTTGTATATGTATGTGTATTTGATATTTGTTTGTTACAGTTTAATCATAAATACATGAAAGAAATTCAAATAGAAATGGAATAAAAAATAAAATAACTTAAAATACCTAACTATATAAAATTTTTTTAGTTATTGGCTTTTATCATCTTAACTATTAATGGAAAATATACCATTTGATTTATATTTTGAAAAATATTGATTTAAAAACATTATTTGGAAAAATATGTTTTTCTAAATGATATTTCCCTTGTGAGTATTTCATAAATGTTCAATCACTGGCCTCTCCAAAGTATCTTAATATTGGTTTTTAAATATTATATATTCATTACATTTTTATAGGTTGAAGATTGCTTTATTTGGAACCAAAAATACAAGGCATTTCAAAATGTTTTTTTAGAGTTTTAAAAACTCTGCAAGAGAAGTACTGAACTTGCCTCAATGAAATCAGCACTGGAGGAGACAGGAATAGTTTTTTAACACTTACAAATGTTCAATGTATGCACCACAGATGGAGACAGGAATAGTTTTTTAACACTTACAAATGTTCAATGAATGCACCACAGATGGCATGTCATATATCAATACAATAATCAGTTTTTGCCACATCTTTTGAAATTGATAGTGGACACTGCTGTAATGATATGAATTTTACTTTCCTGACTGTTATGTATATAACAAGGGAAAGCATTGGAATCATGTCAAATTTGACCCTCTAAGTTTTTTTTTTACAAATCTCCATGTTTTAAGACCACCTGAATCCATAAATATCTAAAAAAAGGAAAAAAATTGTGTGGGGTGTCTATTTCATGTAATATTTTAGGTTGGGATAAATATTAAGAAATAAAATTTGGCTTGGTAACTTTTATATATGAGCTATTGATGCTATTAAATTTTGATGGTTGAAGGGGTGGGGAGATAGAGGGGTGATGTGTCATATCTCAAATGGGGTCAACTTAATAAAAATTTTATTTATTATTGGCATTTACAATTTTTAAAAAATTTATTTTTATCCTCAAAATTAGTCTTTTGCCTTTTTACAATAATTTATAAAATATTTAATTATTATTACATATAATTTAATTTTTGATAAAATCTCAACAGATGGTGCACATGCAATTTTTTAAAAAATAATTAATAACCAAAATAAATGAAAAAAACTAAACAAAAATATGCATTTAGTTTATTTATGAGGGATGATCAAAAACTAATGTTACAAAGCCTGTAGTGAAAAATGTACATTTTATTTCATACAACCAATACAGCCAACTGATAGTACATACATTAGGTTATTTTTCAACATAGTCTCCATATTGGTTTAGACACTTGTCACTTCATGTGATGAGTTTGAAAATTCCCTCCTGGTAAAAATCCTGTTCTTGTGTGTTCAGCCAAGTTGTCGCAAAGTGTTTCACTTCCTCGTCTGAAGCAAATTGTCATCCTGCTAGGTTCTCCTTCAAGTTGAGGAAACAGGTGGAAGTTGCTTGGAGCGAGGTCCAGGCTGTAGGGAGAGAGGTTGATGATGTCCCAGTGAAACTGCTTTAACAGAGTGGTGGTCTTCCGGACTGTATGAGCTCACAAACTTCCGACACCATTCTGTAACATGCTGACAAGACGTTACAGTCTCTCCATAAACCTCTACCAGCTGCCAGTGAATTTCAGCCGCGGTTACATGTTTCGCCCACAGAAATTGAATAACTGAGCGGATTTCTTCACAAGACCAGTTTTCCAAACGAGTCACCATTTGTGCTTACCTACAACTAGCACTGTAGGTGGTGGGTGGCTAAAACTTTGCCCAGTTGCCAACCTCATGTATTGGAATTACTGCACACTTCTCATTTTTCTGTAACAAATGAAACTCCAGGAATATCAGCCTTGTAACCTTAGTTTTTGATCAACCCTTGTAGTTTTTGTCCTAATAAAATCAACAACATGTTTCATAGCTTTCCTGGTGAAGCCAGGAGAGTTATGTAACTTATTGAAGAGTCCAACATGTTCTTTTGTTGGACTCCATTCTCCAAAGGTTATTTTGTTGCAGGCTTTGCCCTTGCTTTGTTGAAAAATTTCCTAGGACCAAAAAAATCATGTGGTGTGAGGTCCAGTGATCTTGAGAGCCATAGCATCCATACTTCACATCATGTGATTTTTTTTTGTGGGGTTGCATAAAATATAGTATTTATATCACTGTTGCCATATGATATTGCCAAGCTAAAAATGCATATCATCACAACAGTGATCATTGCCAATGGGCCCATTTGTAAGAAGTGTAGTAAGAACTGGATTATATTAATGTATGCCATATTACCCACAGTGCACATTTTGAACATTTGTAAATGTTAAAAAAAAAAAAAGTTGTTTGAGTTCCTGCCCTGTCAGGTACTAGTTTTGTTAAGATGAGTTCAGTATTGTTCTTGCAGAGGCATTTTGTAACTTTGAGAAACATTATGAAATACTTTATATTCCTTAGTTAATAAACATAAGTTGATTACCATAATATAGCAATTTATTTAGTATTTTTTCAATGATAGTTTCAAGTTCTATACCTTTTGAAAATAATAAATTATTTAATGCTATCTAATTTCATTAAATTCCATATTAAATAGACCATTTATAATTTTAAGCTTGAAATAACCAATTTATGTTTATAAATTAAATTTATTCAATTCAACAAAGTTTATTTTGTAACAAGAACAATAATTCAGTTTTGTATATCAAATATTCTAATATTTAACTATATGCATTCTTTGGATAATTTTCTTGGCTATGATAAAAGAGACTAAATTATTATTGGTTATGATAAAAATGATATTTTAAAAATATTTTTTAATGAATTGTGTATGACAGTCAATCAGAAATTGTTATCTAACCTCTCAGTTTGCATCAAATACATATTAATGGACTTCAAACTTAATTTTGGAAATTGTTCTATTAGAATGTAACTGATGTTGAACTAGAAAATGTTTCAAAATGTTTCATTGTAATAAAATTACTGGCTCTTATTGTTTTAGATGTTTTTAAGTAAATACCGTAATTTTTTCACTGATGATTAAATTATATTTTAAACTTGATTTTTATTATAATATAAAGTTACATAAGTTATTTAAATTTATTTATTTATTTTGCAGAAAATAGATAAATTACAATCTGGTCTTCATCTATTAGATATAGAGGATAAGCCTGCAAATAAGCATGTATTTTTTGTTGATATGAAAAAAGAAGGTAATTTTATTTTGTGAAGTTATAGTAAAATATTTTGTTTTATTTTTAAAAAATTCAGCAATGAGTTGCATAAGTTTAATAACAAAAAAAATTAATAGATGGTACCATACACAATTTTACTGATATTTTATTTAAAAAGACATTATATTACTAATTATTATAAAATTTTGACATAATCATACCTTGCCCCATTATGTAATCCAGTGGCATGCCATCATTGGAAGCGGTGGATGCGCCGCTTCCCTTGTATTTTCTAAAAAAATAAATACATATTAATTTTAATTATATGAAAATAATTGCACAATATTTTATTATAACCACGTTATGTATCTTATTACAAATTTCTATACTACATGTGAAAAAAAAGATAAGTTTGCTATTGTATATTTGAATATTAGTGGCGGAGTGGAAGCGCTGTATTGTCAGCATCCAAAAAGCCAGATTTGTGCATGCACTTTACAGAGCACCAACCTCACCCGGTTTAGCTGGTGGAAGCCTAGGACCTTGGGTGGATGCTACATGTATACCGCATCCAGTTCTATCCAGGACTGGTTCTGGGCTGTTAGCCGGCCTCGCCTGATTACGTGAATCACGAGTAGATTTATAACTTAATCCAACTGATAAGAATTTACTGGTATGTTTTTATGATAGTTCTGTATAGTTGACAGCAGTTTAAAAAAATCCATTAAAATATTTGATATTTTTATTCCGCTCCACGATTTTATATTACTCATGGATTTCAATGTTAAACTAGTGATAGTACAATTTCGTATATCCCATCTTTAAGGGGATGTAGAAAAAAACGTGTAGAATTCTTGTATAATGTTAAAAAATTAACTGTTACTTCGACAGCAGCATTTACAACTAAATTTAATGAATGAGAGAGATGCACGAGGTACAGAAAAAGCTCTAGAATTTATTTTCCTTAAATTTATGATTTATGTATCCATTTGTCATAAAAATTTGTCTTTCCACTTTTTTTCCGAGACTACAAATATTTGAGTACAAAGTAACCGGTTTTGACTTATTTCTACTTAAGAAGTAGTTAAATAATTAAGCAATTAGGGAATTGGGGACATAAACAAAACCCTGATGAAAGAGCCAAAATTTTACTTAAACAAAAGCTTAACCGAACCAATCTATAGCCGAGTACAGTAGGGACTGATTTCTTCGAAATATTAGATGTAATAAAGACAGAAATTTTTCCAGTTCAACAAGAGTGACCAAAAAGTTGTAAATTTTGGAAATTTCCATGGACAACACCTGGTCCTAAAACGAATTAGTTAGAAAACAAACGACAGATAATCTATTAAGTTTAACACATTTAGATTTTTACAGCTATGGTGAGAAATTTTTAAAATTTACAACAACCCTGTCGCGTCCTTTGAGATATATTAGTGATGCGACAAAAGAGGCATTTGACATTAACCAGTATCAGCACCCTTGGGATTTTGGCATGCATGCATGCACTGCACACCTACCAAGACTATCTATGATTCTATCCATGAGCCACTCACTGGTAGGGAGCAATTTTAACTAAGCGGATTGTTTTAATATTTAAAAAGTAAAGAACATTTTATGTTATTTTTATGTATGTTTCTTCACAAAACTATATTCATACAATTGAATAATTTGTACCAGGTATGTATAATTGTATATCCATCACACATTTTATTTTAACAAGTGAGTTTTTATAATTTTATTTTTAAGTTTAGCCCTTATATTATGGCTAGCAATTTAGAATGTAATTGTGATATTGAAAATTTATTTCAAAAAGTTTTGGCTCGAGACCTTATAATGAAAAAGAAAACATTATTAAAAGGGAAAGACCAATTCCTAAATTAAATATAAATACGTTGACAAAAAATTTGTTTGACATTTTCACGATAAAATTTATGAAGATATAAAATGGCTCTGTGGATGCATAAAAATGCAAAAATTGTTTTGTTGGCCTTGCCTACTATTTTCAAATAAAATTATTCTTATGGAATAAGAATGGCTTTGACGATTTAAATAATTTGAGTAAAGCTGGCAAAAGACACGAAAATTGTAAATGTCTCATCAATTCTTTCTTAAAATTGAAGCAATTTGGAAATCAAAGTGGAATAGAATTTAACATTAGCAAACAATATAAAATAAATATTGAAAATTATAATGAGATAGTTATGGCTAATAGATATATTATATTTTAATTAGTAGATGTTATCAAAACAAGAATTGGCATTTAGAGGGTATAGGGAATCTATTGAATCTAATATAACAGAGGTAATTATATTGAACTTGCTTATTTATTAAGTGCATTAGATAATCTATTAATTAAAAATACATTTAGAGAAGTCTATGGTTTTTACTGGCTTATCCAATAAACGAATACAAATGGACCCTAGACCATCACTGACTGACTACCCCTGGAAGTCGGCTTTTTACAGAAACACAGCTTCCCTATCATCAAATGTCACAGCACACCACTGATATAACCCTAATTAATCTAATAACAAAGAACATTCAAACTAAATGTGGCAGTAAATTGATGAAAGTAAACTGTGTATAATTATTAATAAAACTAGTAAATAACCAGGACAATAATTACTTTTAAAAAATTTACAAGAAATTAACAGAAGAAATTTATATATATATATTATACTAGAGTTTACATATTATTAGCATATATTAAAGTCTGCAACTCCATAAGAAAAAATGTATGTGCTCTGTCAAAGTTTATGAAGTTTACTTGCAGCCCTCATCCAGAAAAGGTTGCTCATCACTGTTTTAAATAATTCTCTAAGAGTTATAAAGAGAGGCAAGACTAGAAACTAATCAGTTATCAGGATACAAATTCAACTAAATCAATTAAAACGTATTGATATAGAGGAAATGAAGGAAAAACAACTAAAGTCGAGACATATATTTGTACTGTACAACACAACACTTCTACAACACAGTTTCATTCTAACATGGTTGGAAAATTGGGGATATTTCCCGTACAACATGGTTTTTGGTTTTGCTGTAACATGGTTTGGGAAATCCTGTGTACAAAATTTCACAATTTTTAAGTGCAAACTCTGTTATTTGATAACTTTTTATTCAAGTAAGCATGCATGTTGCTCAGATTTGCTCACAGATTTTAGAATATTAAAATTTTCGATTTGTTCTGTGCCTTTTGTCAGATTTGCTTTAATGAAAACTGATAGTAGAATTTTTCCTTCCTTGTTCTAGCTTTCCTATCAACCAGGTATCGTTGTTGTTGCTTTCAGACTTTAGCTCATAAGACTGTCACTATATTTTGTTTTTATAGATTAATTTTTGTATTTAGTAAAGTGTTTATTTAAACAATTTTAGGTAAGTGTTATTAAACCTTTTTTTTAACCATAGGTAAGTAATCATTCATAAAAATAATGAATGAAATACAGTGATAAATCAATACTTGAACTGTTTGCAACTCAAATTATTCAGTATTTCAACACAAATTCTGGAAAAAATCACTCTGTACTGAACTGAACAAATGCAACCCTCTAGAACGAATCTTCGATTAATAACATATTTTTATTTGTCATCCATAAAAAATAATAAAAATTTTTAAAAAATGAAGTTGTTGCTGATATTTTTGATCAAGATCAACAAAAAAGCTTAGAAGATGATGATACTTTGTAAAAAGAAAGTGCCTTTGTTTAACTAGAATTGATATTAATGCATGGATACAGTACTTTTACTTGTGACTGTTAGTTAATTATTGATTGCTTTAATAAATGTCTCTCTCTTAGGCTATGCTGGACAGTGTCACATAGGATGCTACGTCCTACTTGGCAGTGTCTAGCGACCATAGGCGAAAAGAATCTTTGTACGCGTTTCCAACTCGCGAGTGGCTTCTGTCCAGAATGGACACACGTTGTTTACAAGATGGCAGCGAGAAGACTTTGTTAAATGCTACTATGGAAAATATGACAAGAATTAAAACAGTAAATTTGAAAGGTAAATGTTATCACTGACTATATACACAACAAATATAAAGAATCTTTATAGAATAATAAGTTAAAAAAAGTTTTATTTTTAAAACGTTACATTTATACAAAATCAGAAATTATTAAATTACATAAAAGATTATTAATTAAAGGACATACAACATATAGACAATTTATTTATCATTCTGCTTTTATTTATCTACAAAATCGGCCATTTTTTTCTTTGGAAGCATGAGCAGTGGAAGCAGCAATCAAACTTGCTTGAAAGCTGCACAATGCATGTTACAAGCACATGCATGTAGAAGCGTCATCTAGTGGTTGCTGCACGCTAAACACAGTTACTCTGGACACACACCTTTGCTTGAATCAGTTTGTTTGCTTGGCTTGGAAGAATGTTCATGCCCGTGGTTGCTAGATGCTGCCATGTAGGATGCAGCCTTAGTAGCTAAAAACAAAAGTATACTTTTGTTAACTTTTGGAGTCTAACCAAATGTTTTGCATTGCATTGGTCCTTTGATTCATATAGCACAATTTCATATAAGAGGCATTTTTTCTGTTTTGGTTTGGTTTTTATTGGTGTATGACATGGGTTATCTGCTGAGGAGGAGTGCCTCCTGGGAGGTCTTTAGTAGGAAACTGGCTTCTATTTAGGTGTTACTAACATGAAGATAACCTGGAAAACTCCACATGGGCAGCCCATTGGCATGGCGCAAACCCATGACCAACTATCAGTGGTCAGTGGTGTTATCCACTCAGGTGTTGTCATAGGTGCAGTTTTTTGGAATGTAACTACCATGTTATATGAGGGATACCTATATATGTCTTCAATGTTTTTGGTAAAGATGCAAAATAGGTATGCATTGTACAAAAGATTTTTCACATTTTTAAAAACCCTCTTGGTAAATTTATGTAAAAAGAAAATCCGTTGGATGAATTCATAATTGCAAGTTAAAATGAACAAATAACCTTCATTTGCTTCCAAATTGATTTTTAAATATAGAATAACCCAACGGTTATTTCCACAAAATTATGATATTTGTTTTTAAGAGATTATGTTTAATGTTATCATGTTAAATGATTTTATAGGAAAATTAGCTTAGAAATTTTATATACAGTCGACCCCCTTATAATGCGTGTTCATATAATGTGGATTTGTGGCAAAAAAATTGCGACCATATTCATATAAAGACGCTAAAAGAAACCCGTAAAATGTCATCACTGACTCGTATTGTGGCAGGATTGGTCGAATCTGGACCAATAGTGGACGAGCAGCTGAACTACTTACACGCTATGGAGAGTTTAGGCGGGTAAGTTGAGTTTACTATCGTCTGTACAGTACAGTCGACCCCCCCCTATAACATTGTTGATAATTCTGTTTTATATGAATTTTATGTTGTACGAGTCACTTAGATTTTACAAATACTTGAGACATTCACAGCCCGGCACACGTATTTGTAAAATCTAAGTGATTCATACAACATGGAATTCATATAAAACGGAATTATCAACAGTGTTATAGGGGGGGTCGACTTGTATATAAATTAGGTACTGTAAGTCTAATACAGTACTGTAATTTTATACATTTCTTGTGAAAAAAACATTTGTTATTCAACGGCCATAAAAATTATTTCTATTAATGATGTCTCCAAAGTTCAGCGAATTTTTTGAAGAAAAATAACTTATCAGAAAACATGCGCGCCTTTCCATGCGCTGCTCCGTGAAGAAAACAAGCTTAAGCAATCGCGACGTCAAACGGTGCACACTCGGTAAGTAATCCTACAATTTTTTCTTTATAGTATAGTTTATATGGATTATTCCCAAAAAATTATACATGTTTTGGAAATGTTGAGTCAAATTAGTCTAGAATCGATTAATTTTATGGAAGAAAACCTTTCAAACAGCCGTAGTCCGTAAACTGCACACGTGCCGGGCTGTGATTGGCTCATGTNAATATAACACCCGACGTTATTAAATCAACCGTAGGGAAGTTTAAACAAACAGAACGTGCAAATTTGAAAATTTAATAAATCCCCCCTTTAAAACTTCCTTAATTATACAGTTTTAATACTTAATTAAAAATATAAATGCTAAGACGGCCGTAACGATTTTTGATTTTATATATATATATATATATATATAATAACTTTATAAGTAAAATTTCGGTCCTGTAAAGTGTAATAAAAATTATGTAATATTTCATACTGATTTTTACTTTATTTCTTATTTTAAAAAATAAGACAATATTACTGTCAAAGATTTACTGTGATTCTATAAATTTAAAACTTAAAAATAACTCATGAAATAGAAGTCTTTCAAGATTTTTTATTTTATTAAAATTAATTTCTAAAGATACATTAAATTATTTAGATTTCAAGTAATTTTTGAAAGTTTTGAATTTCTGGAAAAGTTTTTATTTTCTGAATTATGTTTAAGTCATGCTGTTATAAAAATACCCATGTCAAGATTTTCAAAAAAGAAGAAATTAAAATATTGTTTTTAATACAATTTAATTGCTTTTAAAAATGTACTTATGTATGTGTTTGTCTCTTTCACATTACTTTGCATATGATATATATATACAATTTTGTAAACATTTCTTAAAAAGTTGAAAAACCATGTAAAAAAAAGTCTGTATGGAAAAATGGAAGATTGATTTCCAATCTTAAAAATCAATAAAAATATAATGAGATGTATTTAAACAAAATATTTCAAATTTAGTTAATAAAACAGAGGAGGGACAACTGTAATGTACTACTAAACAACAAAATTTAATAAATTTATATTTTTTGCACAAATTCTATTTTTTATTAAAGTTTTTCAATTAACACCAAAATAGCTCTAGCTTTTAACACCAAATACAAAAACTAATTTGTATTGAAAGAAATGCAATCAAGTTGACATACTTTGTATGTCAACTTGTTTGTATGTCAACTTGAACAGTCAAAAAAAAAATTAAAATTTTTTTTTTGACTGTTCACTCACAAGATAAGGTTGGAATGAAAACTGATTGTCACTACACATGTTCAAATAAGTCTTAAAAAATAGCCAAATAAAATTTACTTGAATGTGTGTAATAGCCTTAAATACAAATTATAACAAATTTTTTGAAGAGCAGTTTTCTAGAAAATGACATAAATATTTTTACTTAGAATTAAATCAAATGGAGATGTTTTTAAAAGGGAAAATTTATTAAAACATGTTAAATCAAAACAATTTATGTGATAATATAAGTAAACAACGCCTTTTTAACAGTCCAGCAAAAACATTTAATTCTCTAATAACGTTTTCGACCAATTTTAGTGGCCTTCATCAGTTACTCCAATATCAAAAAGAGCAAAGTATTCTAAATTTACGTAATACAAAATTAAATTAAATTAAATTAAACTGCGGTTGCGTATAACAATGGAAAAAAATAAAAATGCACAAATAAATAAATAAAAATAAACAAATAAACCCAAATAAATAATAATGCCGTCATCATGGATACATATATTAACTTGTGTTAGTGTAAAATGACTTCCAAGCATTTGCCAAACCTTCTGCATCTCTGTGATTGATACATTCCATGGTTATATGCGCTTTATGTATTTCTATTTTTTCAAGATGCTTCACCGCTTGTAATGATCTCGTGGCCCTAACGATCGCCGCACGATCCCAGTATATGGTTACATCCTGTTGTTTGGCAAATGCCGCCAGAACAGTACTATCGATGTTCCTAACTACAGAATATTTATGCTCATTTATCCTTTGTTTTAAACTCCGCATAGTTGCCCCGATTATTAGAGAATTAAATGCTTTTGCTGGACTGTTAAAAAGACGTTGTTTACTTATATTATTTATTTGATTTAGTTCCAGTAAGATTTTTTTTATTACAATTTATGTGAAAAAGAATTGAACTTTTTCCAGACTGTTAAAATTATGTAAAAACAATCTGTGTAAAACAAGATTATGGGTATAATTTGGAGAAAATTTATAGTAAATGTAATACTGAATTTGAATTAAAATTGCTTAGATAAGCAAATAAAAGACTTGAAAGATTTTTATTCTGTTAAATTATAGTAAGTGTTAAAAAGTCTTAGTTTTTTAAAGAAGTTTAAACAATTATTTATATTTAGTATATAATTAATAAAAAAATTTTATTAACAGTTTCTTAAAGTTATTAAATTTTTTGTTGTTTTTAATTTAAATTTTCTTATTTTTTTCTATTTTATTTAATTATTTTAGTGAAAAACTTTGACATAGCAAATAGATTGGACACTCATCCAAGTCTTTTAAATAGGACCTATAATCGTCCAAGATTAAAAACTCTACAAGAAATGAAATTATCTGATGTTGATGATGAAAGTTTAGAGGTAAAAATTATTGAAAATTAGTAAACATTTGAAAACATATTATTTTCTTAAAAATAATCTGCACTTTTACTTGTTCTATGTATTGGTGTTTGTATGTGGATTACTAGTTTTCTCATCAGTATTCATTACATAATAAATGTACTTGAAAAAGGACTGTCAGTTATGAATCTTTTTATCAATTTTTGAGTATTTGTAAAAAAAGTACTTGTTAATTCTTTTCATTAATTAATTAACTATCAGTCATAATTTACAATTAGAGCTAGGACATTTAGGCAGTAAAAATCATATAAATAGTTATAAAAATTGTAACTTTTATGATTTAAAAAGGCTAGATGCAATTTAGCTTTAATTTACTATCATTATATATACTAATCGTTAAATTAATAAAACAAAGTAAGTCAATTTTTAATTTAACATAAGCAATATGTCATTCAAAACTATAACTTATCCTACATGATAATCAGTCTCACATTGTCTTCACATCTTTCAGCAATATTTTATTAAAAACAAATGTTTTTGGTATAGTTTACAGGCTGCTTCAGGTTCTACACATTCAAATTTAACAGTACACATTTATATCAAACAGTTTACTGTTTGATATAAATGTTAGAACCTGAAGCAGCCCAGAAACTAGGCCAAAAATGTTTGTTTTTAATAATACATTACTGGATGATGTAAGGAAGGTGTGAAATTGATTATTGTAAATTTAACTTAGTGTGTTTTACATATTGATGAATTTTTACAATCATTTATTAAATATAATTGTTAAAATTATATAATTATATTCTTTGTAGATACACGTTATTACTGACTTACCTTTCAACATATATTTATTCAGTTTACAGAAAATATAATTTATTAATATATTACAAAAGTTTGTAAACATTTTTGGAAAAATAAGAAAATATAAAATTTTGAAGTACTTATTTTTTCTGACAAAATGCGAGTAATTAACTAAATTTTTAACAATTAAAAAATTATTATTATACTCTAAGTTAATGCTTTTAATTTCTAAATATAATTGACAGTCTTATTATACAGAAACTATTTCAAGATAATTCTTTTTTATCAAAGCATTCTAGCATTTTCTCGTAAAACAAATTTGTTGTTATATTTAAAGCTATACAATATTTGTAATTTACTTGAATTTATTTAATTTCCTAACGATAAATAAGTGATAATATGATTAATGAAAGTTTATGGTTTTTATCTATGTTAGAAATGTATATAATTGCTAAAGTATAAATATTTTAAGGAATTCTTGAATAACAAGGATTGTTATAATTACTTAAATATTCAGTTTTACTCAAATATTCAATAAAAAGTGAGATACAGTTGAACCTGTCTATCTCAAACATGTTTATCTTGAAATTTATTTATTTTTTCATGTATTTTCAGCATAAATTCAATATATTTACATGCTTATCTCGAAAATTTTAACTTAAAACCTCTAAACAGTCAAACTCTAGGTTTTGAAGTGCTCACTTTTTCAACAAATTGGTTCAAGAACAGAATTTCAAATTTGTAATTGCACCAGTTGCCGTATGATAATTTGGTTGCCAAATGAGATAATTGGCAAGAGTTGGCCACAAATTAGAGAGACATAGATTGTCAACTCCAGATGTTTTCTATGTTAAAGAAAGTGAATGGCTCAATCAATAACAAACCTACTAATTCAGAAGTTAGTGGTGCTGAGATTGCCTCACATCATTAGACATCATGACATGAATCATCTATGATATTGCTATTTAAATTAGATTTCAATGCAATATGAAAAAGATACTAGTACCATTTTTCAGTGTGTGCCGCAATGGGACGTGCATGGTTTACATCTCATCACTGGTGGCACTAGTGTCAGCTTGATGTATACTTAACTTTCAGTAGTGCACAAAATAGTGGAAACTAAGCAGAAGTTTTGAACTGCTTATAAAGAATGTAACAGTTGCTGAATTAAGAAAGAAATTAAAAGAATTAGGAGCCAAGACATGTTCATTGTCAGGGGGTCTAATGTGTTTGCAGATCCCCTATTTTTGCCATATAAGGGTTATAATACATCACAAAGTTTGGGTCTGATTGATGCTTATACTATTAGGGGCAGTCAAATGAAAATGAGACAGACTATGTAACAAGTGTGGCATGGAAGTTGGTAATGCAGGTACATGTGTATATAGAAGTGCTCTCTATTGGTAATCAGGAAGAAACAGCACGAACATTCACTGCTGTGTCATTTGTCTGTTAGACATGCTCGAAGTGAGGTCAGCAAGTCGTGTGTGCATCCAATATCACTATGGAGGTCCAATTTCTTGTTGACTTTCTGGAACATGGCGCCACAATTAACGCACAACAGTACATAGAAACTTTGCAAAAATTGAAGCGTGCCATCAAATCCAAACACCCAGGAATGTTGACAGACAGCATCATTCTGTTGCAGGATAATGCCCACCCACATGTTACCAAGGTTGTTTTGGCTATGCTGCAGAAGTTTTGCTGGGAACTTCTGCAGTGTAGTGCATACACATCCTCCATACAGTCCCAATTTCTCCCCATGCGATTTCCATATTTTTGGAGCCCTGAAGAAAGACATTCGTGGCTGTCAATTTGCTTCAAACGAAAAGGTGCACGCCTCAGTACAATCATGGTTCCGTAGCAACTGCAAACATTTTTCTAAGAAGGCATTGACTGTCATGTCTTACAGTGGGATAAATGTATTAACAGTTATGGCAATTAATTTTGAAATAATAAACAGTTTACTTACTTTTTCCCCATCTGTCTCGTTTTCATTTGACTGTCCCTAATAATAACCCACTTTCAACTGCCATAAACCATTAGGCTATAATTTAGCAATAATAATTATAAATTACAAATAAATTTGTAATTAAGAACCTAACCACAAAATTACCAATATACCAGCAAAATTCAATTTAAAAACGAACGTTTTCTACTGTCTTCACCGGTCATCCTCAGGTGAAGACGGTAGAAAACGTTTGTTTTTAAATTGAATTTTGCTGGTATATTGGTAATTTTGTGGTTAGGTTCTTAATTCTCACACCAGTATGATGAATGATTGTTTAAATTTGTAATTTATAATGATTGTTGTTTTTATTGTTTGATGTTTATACTGTTTAAGAACGAAAAAAAAAACCAATCTTTTTAAACTTGAATTTATTTTTTATTGTATAAAATGTTGATTAATAACATAATGAATGGTGATCCAAGCATAGGTTAGAGAGTTTCTAATACATACATATAATCTATATAAATAAAAATGTAAATGTTTGTTTGTTCAAAATCTTAAATCGCCGAATGTTCTTAACCGATTGCTTTGAAATTTTGACACAATGTTACATTTGAATACACGCATATTTTTATATTATATAGATGTCGAAATTCCCCCTGTGGGGGAGAGGGACAAAATTAAGGCTTACTGTGAAGAACTGGTCTTCTATTATTCTATTGTAGATGCGGTTTTTTGCGTTTTTGATTGCATTTTAATAGGGTACGTCAAGAGAATGTACGCTAAGAAGGAATCTTTCTAAATCCCCCCGTGGGGAGCATTATACATTTATAATAGATACATTTTGAGCCACAGCAACGTGTGGCCAGGTACAGCTAGTATAATAATAAATTTTTTACAGTACAGGTAACCCACGTATAATATGGCACTTCTATAGCACAGATTCACTCTAACACAGTTCGAGAATTGGGAACATCCCCCGTATAACACGGTGCTTTTATAGCACGGGTTCACTCTAATGGGTTTGGGAATTGGGTAAAACCCTCGTACAACATAAAATGTAATAAAGGGTGTGTTAAAACAAACTACTCACCACACCTCCATAATAATCACATACACTGAACCAATTTACAGTGTGGTACGATAAATAACAAAAAAAACTCTTCTGGGCTCTTCATCAGGTTCCTACAGTTTTAGCTCGTAAATTCGAATAACGAATGTCGTTCAAATAAGTTCATTCTTGAGTTCGAATCATTCTTTTAAAATTATACGACGCGCATGTGTGCCGAATCTGCCTACTCAGATATAACGGGCGGCTAAATCGTGTCGTGAATCAACTCTTGCCAGTCCATTGACAAAAGCATCTCCTCTTTAAAATTTATGCACGTAGTTTTGATAGAGGCTTTAAAGATGTGCATCGCCACTAACCATTTGAGATGATCATTGGGAGGCGCACCTAGGAGGAGATTGGCCCGAGTAAAGTCAGCAACTATTTCCGGGTCCGTTACATATGATGCAAGGACCGTGTTGGTTCTCCCGTGACAAATATCTGCCTGATGTTCTTGCATTCTGATGCCTACGGACCTTTTAGTAGAGCCTATATATACTAAATCCCTACTGAATCTGTTATCTCTCAAAGGGACACTATAGACTCCGGGTCTTCTGCTGGGGTTAGGAGGGTCCTTCCCATTATTTAAGATGTTAAAAATGGTGGGACACCTCCTGTACACAATAATTATTTGGTGCTTCCTGGCAATCTTAGCATATATAGATCTTAGGTATGGGTTATAGGTGAACCTATAACCCATACCTAAGATCTATATATGCTAAGATCGCCAGGAAGTGCCAAATGGCAAATACTAAAAGAAATATAGAACAGGCAATATATCAACATTGTATTATATTATATATCAGCAATAATGACTGTTCAAAAAATAAAATAAAAAAATAGGAAAATATGAAATTATAGAAAAATAAAGATTATACAACTAAATGAAATTTTAATTGAATTCTAATAGCTTGAACATTATTTTGTCTATAATGTCATTTCAAGTAGCATAATTGATGATTTAGAATGATGTTATGATTAACTTTTTAACAGAGATAAATTTACAAATTGTCTTTCTATACATATATTTAATGTTAAATATATTACACAATTAGTGATTTTGGTTTTTCAATTCATTGTTACCTAATTTCCATATTGTAATTACTGTATATGAAAAAGAAAATAATCAGTACTTTAAGTTAAGAAATGTTTCACATCAAAGATTTTTCAAATATTTTGTAAAATGAAATTCAGATACACTGCTAAAAAAATAATATTAAACTTATTCACATTGTTTATATTTTATAAATATTCTGATATTTTATTTTTATATTTTTATATTAATATTGAAAATACTATTATTATTTTTAGACTATATTGAAGCAAAGAAGAAAGCAATATGATGAATTAGAAAAGAGAATTCATCGAGAGAATGAACTTTCAATTCTAAGTCAAAAAATGGCAATGAAGAAATTATTATTGGTAATTATCTTCTAATTTTAGTAATATATGAATTAGTGTATCATCCAAATTATTAAATATATTTTTGAGACAAACAATTTTAAAATTTTTTGTAATAAATTAGTTAGATTGATTTTGATGATTGAATTTTCTGCTTACATTAACCACTAAGCAGTGAGTGATGACTATAGTCATCAAGGGCGATCATGTGGCAGTGGTGAGGGTACGACTATAGTCGTCAAATTCTTTTGGGGGTATTGCCAAAAACTAACCTAAAACTTTTGCGAAAAAAAATTTACATAAAAAATGAATTATGTGACAATAAAAAAAGACTTTTCTTTACTAGACATAACTGTTTACAAAATCTTTTTTCGAAACAGTAATGAGAAAAATACGTGTGAAAAAATACTTTAAAAATTTCCCACATTTATTCTCCACTACTGGGGGTAGAACCATACCTGACTAGTCCACTGTTGAAAGGTTAATGTTTTAGTGATATAATATGTTCCAAACTTTATTTGCATCATTTCATTGCATTAAAAATTGTTTGCATATTAATTATAATAAAATTGCAACTAATATGAAGAGAACTTATTATATACTACTACAACAACAAAATGAGTCTATAAAGATAAAATAATATATTTATATAGCAACAAAATATTTATTAAGTGACTTTTTATAAGTGTACTGGAAATATTGAATTACTCAAAATTGTGAAGAGGAAAAATATTCTTAATGTTATAAGAGAAATAATAAACTATAATATATCTCCTTAATTTAAGATTACTGACAGCAGAGGTATTAAATAATCTAATGTTATATAATTTTCCTTACAATAAGTGCAGAAGAAGATGGGAGAATGTTTCATCATTTGTATTAAGGTTCCTCTGACAAATTTTGATTCCATGATGGAGTTTATGTTATGATAGAAATTTATCAAAACTGTAATTCTTATGAGTGTAAGGCATTTTTGAAACTTATTAAAACTGCAATCATCTCTATAGTACAACAAGTAACACAAAGTATATATCCTTGATACATGGAGAAAAAATCTCAGAAAAAAAGATCTTGAGAATATGTAGCATGAGGAAGAGCTAGTTTTTATCTAGTAACTTTTAGGGAACAAAATGAAGTGGTTTATGAGAATTTTTTGTATGGGAACATACAATTTTTTGCTAATTACAAATTCAGGTATTTACAGTGAATGATTTCATTTGGATTCATAGAATGAATATAGATTGATCCTTATTTGTTGTTAATTTTTTGTCAGTTTATGCCAAAAAATTTTTAAAAATTTTTATCGGTCAATCTACTACAACTTTCACATTTAACAATCTTCAATTTTGAGAAAAAAATTCACAAAGATAGGTGGTTCCTGTTGCAGCTGTAATTCTCATCACCAGATTTTTTTAGGTTAGGGAATTTATTATTAAAGACAAATTTTTTATAAAATTGAACTTTGTCATTAACCTCAAACATATATTTTAATTCAAAAGATGACTGGAGATCTATTAACTCTATCTGCAAATTTGTTGGAGCTGATTCTTGGAATCAGCTCCAACAAATTTGCAGATGGAGTTAATTGTGTCTTTCAAACTCATAACATCAAGAAATTCTTTGGTTGCATTCATTCAATATACACATCTCAAATAAAAATGACAAGTTGATACAGTTGAGCCATATCCTTCATATTTGTTGTTTCATCCAAAGCCAGTGAGAAATACACAAACTTATTAGAAACCATGTTCAGCATTTAACAAATTTCATTTGAAATGTTATCAATTCTTTGCACTACAGTTTGATATGACAGGTTGATTTGACTGAAAATCTTGACTTTTTCTGGAACAATTTCTTCAGCTGCAGTGACAGTGCATTCTTTGATGTATTCACCACCTGAAAACAATTTCATTTTTTCCCCAATAATATATGATATTCTCATGCTGGCATTAATGATGGTGTCTGATTGAACTGTTTGTTTATGAAATACATTTTGTTCTGCAGTCAGACTTGCTTAAGTATTTGTAATTTCACTTTTCATTTGTAGCTAGTATATTTTTAAAATTATCATGTTTTTGTTCATAATGTCTTTTCAAATTGTATGATTTTAATATTGAAGTAGAATCACAACAAATTAAATATATAGCTTTGTCTTTTATCTGAATGAAAAAATACAAATTTTCCCATTCATTTCAAAACTGTAATGTCTGTTTTCATCCTCAATTTTTTTTTTTCAGACAAAATGGAAATAAAGGATCAATTAGAAACAAAGTTAATTAAAAATAAAATTTTACTCAATCACATAAAATAAAATTACTCACTGTTTATGTGGTTCAGTTTGTATTGTGTTACTTGTTAACATTTCACATACACAATATGTTTAAGCTACTAATAAAACAAGTGCTTGATAATTATAAATGGGGCAATGATGAATTCATTACTTTTTACTTACTCTGTAAAATCTGCATTAATTAGCAGAGATAGCTAAACAGAATAAATTTATTAAAGATGGCTGCCAGTCCGAAAGACAGAAAACCAGTAACTAATGGTCATCCAATTTTGAAATAACCTATGGTACATAACCGTTACATGAAATGGTTCTTGGTGGCTAACTATAATCAAATAACTTACACAGTAAAACATTATTAAACCCAATAACAATCCAAATACAGAATGATTTAAAATTTTAAATCTATATGCATGTGTAATTGTGTAATTTTAATTTAAATTTTCTTAGGCTTACTTTTAAAGAATTTAAAGAAAACAATAAAACCTCTTATCATTTATTGGAAACACAGAAGACTGTTGTAACTTAAGAATGTGTCTATTGCTTGACATTTATTACACATATTGGCAAATTTAAGGAAATATGATTTTGTTATACCAAAATACAAATTTAAAAACTTTTGTTGTCGTAAACATACTGAATAAATACATATGCATACAGTATGTATGATACAGTACATATATATATAGTATATGTAATACTTTAAAGCTTCGTTAAAAAATATTTAATAACTGTTTTAATTTCTGAGTTAGGTGATAGGGTGTTATACATCATATTAATGTATTTAACTATACATGTGATATTTCATTGTAATAAAAATTTGTGCAAGCTAATTATGGTTTTAAAAGGGTCACACAAAAACATTGAGTGGGCTGCAGGTTGGACATGGTGGGTTTAAACCCCAAATAGACATTGCATAGTATATTATTGAGTATCATTTTTTATCATCACTATAAGTAACTAAATATTTAACATTATATTATTTTATAATTTCTTTCATTTAAGTATAAAACTTCAGTCCATTATCATCATAAAATAAATACAGAAATGATCTAGTTACTTAAAAGGAAAAAATTATTTATATTAAATAATGTAGAGACTAAGAGTTTTAGGTCATAAAACAATTATTTTAAATGGCTAAAACTAAATTTTATACTGTTTTTATTAAAATACAAGGAATTTTAAAATTAAAGAAAAAGTAAAGAATACACAAATTTTTTTAAAAACTGTTTAACTTAGAATTAATTTCAGATATACTATAAAATAGTTTTTATAAGTATTTCTCCATAGTCAATTTTTACCAGTGTGAAAGCTATTTTATGGTTTTAATTATTGTTTTAGCCATTTGTATATATGATTGATCTTACTTGTAAAGTCTAAGAAACAAATATACCTGTTCTTAATTTACAAAGTTTCATACCATAGTTTCTATATTCAATGGTTGACTCAATAGTCAATTTTCCGTTGAGTTCCTCCATTGAACAATTTGACATCACGTTTTGCAGAAAAAAGAAATGCTTTTGTTGAGAGGTTGCTTTTCAAGATGGCTGACTTAAGTAACGAGAAGGTGGTGATTGTGACTGTTTTGCTAAATAATTAAAGTAACTTGCTTAACCATTATTCGAATAAATCCTTTTATTCAAATGAATCCATATCTGTATCATTTTCTTGTATACAGTATACTGAGTCTTTCTTTAATAATTTAAATTCATTTCTCGAATATTTATATCATTAGGACGACTTAGAGGGCCAAATATTGGTCGTAATCAATTTTGGACAAATGAAAAAATCTTAATATATCAATATTGACCAAATTTTCCAACATAATTGTGCAATCACATGTTTTATCATATACAGATCGTTCATTTATCTGTCTGCTATTACAGCATCCACAGAAGCAAATGGATAGTTTCTATAAGCGAGATTTACTTTTTTATGGAAGCCGCTATGCTAGTTTGTTGAATGCTCAATGGTCTTTAGGTCATTGAGACCGTTGAGCTCAACGGTAAAACAGCGCTGACGTCACTAGTCTCAACGGAGAACTCAACGGTCCATTTAGAAACGTTGTTCTCTCACCGTTGAGTCAACTGTTGAATATAGAAACGTGCGGATAATGTGATTTGACTCAAGAGATTTTTGTGTCAAAGAATACAATTAACTCGGTTCTCTGTAGTCAATTTATATTTAAAAAAATAAAATTTATCAATAGTTTTACAAAATAAAAATATTCAATTTATTACTTCAATTAATTTTTGTTTATAAAGCAATTTTTTACAAAAATATTTATTAATTTTTTTTGTGGAATAAAAATTTTCTTTTAATGAATTGAATTTAATTTATATGTTACCGGCAAAGTATGAAAAGCCGGCATTCTATAGAATACCTAGGCATTGTATATAATGCCTGGCGTTTTTAGGCAATCTATATGAAATATGAGAATTATTACATACTTTCCCTAGGCATTGTATATAATACCTAGGCATTCTATAGAATGACAATGCTATTTAGGCAAAGTATGAAAAAAGGTTCTGATAAGGCTATTATATAAATGACGTGCATTCCTCAAAAATACAAATGTTATTCTGAAAAAATAATGAGAGTGCCATTAAAAAAATTTATTCAAAATACGTAAAGAAAAATGAAAGTTGTACAAAACAAAATTTATGCCTTTCTTATTAAGGGAAACAAAATTTTCATATAAAAAATTACAATTAACCTACTTGTTGCAACATGG